AAAGAACATTTCTACCCTTAAGCTGGATGAACTAATTGGAAACCTTACTGCCTATGAACTGAGAAGCAAACCATGAAAATGGATGCACCAAAGAAGGAAAGAAGTCTGGCTCTCAGAATTGCAAGAGATTTCAAAAAGTACCTGATGAGAGGAAAGGGTTCTTCAAGAGGTACAACCTTCAACAAACCAAGGGCTCCTGAGAAACAGACCAATAAGGGTTGCTACAAGTGTGGTAAGACTGATCACATGATCAAGAATTGCCCTCAATGGGAAATTGAGTGGAAGAAGGAAATGGCTGAACGAAGGAACAAGTTCAACCAAAAAGGAACAAAGGATCAACAAAGGCTATGGTTGCTGCTTGGGGAGAAACATCAGATGAGGACTCAGAAGATGACGCTGGAGATGAACAAGCACTTATGGCCATCGGAGAATCAGATGATGAACAAGAGGTAAGTATTCTTCATCTCAAAGACAAGATTAAATTCCTGTCTAAAGAAAGGTTGTCTGAGCTACTGCTAAACTTCATTGATGAGTCCGAGATAATTAACAATGAGTAAGAAGAGCTGTCTAGGGAATGTATGATCCTAAAAGCCAAGTGCAAAAACCTAGAGTCTAGGGCTAATGAGAGTGAAAGTGAAAATATTGAGTTGAAGAACCAGGTTCTTGAACTTGACACTAGTGTCCTAGAACTTAGGTCTGAGAACTTAAAATTGAAACTAGGAACAGGAAGGAAGAAAGCTGATCACACACATCTCACCCTAGAAGAAAACTTAAGAAAAAATGAAGGATGAGCTGTACAGGAAAGATGAGCAGATAAGAGTATTAAAAGAAGATCTAGGGAAGGTAAAACATGAACTAGACAGAACTTGCAAATGGAACAAGGCTTCTGATGCACTCTCCTGGCTACAAGAACATCACAGTAGCAGCAAAAGAGGACTTGGTTATGGGACTCAAGCACCTAAGTGAGATCCTAAAAGCAAGTACCTCACTCTTCCTGAGAACAAAATTTGCACATATTGTGGCAGTTGGCCATTACAAAAATGAATGTAATGCAAAAGAAAAGGCCAGTCAAAAGAACAAAACTTTTGTTCAAGAAAAAAAATAGGCTGCCTGGGTTGGCTAGAAGGAATCTGATTTATCCCTTTGCCCATAGAAAGGGATCCAAACTAGTTTGAGTTCCTAAGACTAACCCCTGATTTCTTTTTGTAGGTCCAAGTGAAGGGAAGCAGCCAAATATGGTAGTGGCTGCTCAAAACATATGACTGGAAGCAAGAACCAGTTCCTTTCACTTGAGGACTTAAGGGGAGGCAATGTCTCCTTTGAAAATGGGAAGAAATGTGAGATCATTGGGGTTGGAAAGGTAGGTAAGACATACTCTCACTTCAGTGAGAATGTCTACTTGATAAATGGCTTGAAATACAACCTGATCAGTGTGTCACAACTATGTGACAGAGCTAACCTTGTAGCATTCACCTCTACTAAATGCTTTGTGATTAACCTTACCACTGACAAGATTGTTTTGCAGGGAAAAATAGTTAACAATATTTACATTATAGATTTGTCTACTCTCTCAGAAAATGAACTAACCTGCCTAAGTGTGCTGGATAATGATCCCTTCCTGTGGCACAAAAGACTTGGTCATGATAGTCCGAATCAGCTAAACAAATTGGTTTCTAAGGACTTGGTGATAGGGTTACCCAACATCAAGTTCAAACAAGACAAAGTTTGTGAGGCCTGTGCAAGGGGGAAGCAGGTAAGATCATCTTTCAAAAGCAAGAAAATGGTAAGCACAAACAAGTCGTTGGAACTGGTCCATATGGATCTCTGTGGTCCAATGAGAACCATGAGCAGAGGAGGAAAGAAATATGTAATGGTACTTGTTGATGATTATTCTAGATTTACCTGGGTACTATTTCTAACATCTAAAGTTGAAGTATTTGACATGTTCACTGCCTTTGTTACAAAAACTTAGAAACAATTAAGAAATCAACTTGCATCAATTAGGTCTGATTATGGAACTGAATTTGAAAATGCTAAGTTTGTTGAATTTTGTGATGAAAATGGTATACTTCATAACTTCTCTGCCCCTAGTACCCCCCAACAAAATGGAGTAGTTGAAAGAAAGAACAGGACTCTTGAAGACATGGCTAGGACTATGCTTCTTTCTAGTAAACTGCCACATAACTTCTTGGCAGAGGCTATAAACACTGCATGTTACATTATCAATAGATGCATGACTAGACCTCTTATAGAGAAGACTCCCTATGAGTTACTTAAAGGGAGAAAACTAAATATATCCCATCTTAGGGCATTTGGATGCAAGTGCTTTGTGCACAATAATGGAAAAGACTCCCTAGGTAAGTTTGATCCCAGAAGTGATGAGGGAGTATTCTTGGGATATTCTTCACATAGCAAAGCATATAAAGTGTTCAATAAAAGAACTTTGTGTGTAGAAGAAAGTGTACATGTAGTATTTGGTGAAACTAACATTCTTTCTGAGAGACAGGAACATGAAGATAAAGCCATTGGATTGGTAAAGGATTTGACTGAAGCCTCAGCACAAGTCAAAGTGACACCAAAAGAAGGAACAGGTGATGGAATAGGTTCTTCCATCCTGAGCAACCTGATATGGGGAACTGATCAAAGAGGAACGGAAATAAATCCCCTAAAAGAACCTGTTCATGACCCTGTTCCTCAGCAACAGAACATGGGAGAAACATCTAGCAGAAACCAGTTGGTTGTGAAACCTCACAAGTATCAAAGTTCTTATCCTATTGAGAACATTATCACTGATCCAACATTTGGAGTCAAAACTAGATCACAATTAAAGAATCTGTGTACTTTTGATGCTTTTTTGTCTCTTATTGAACCTAAAAATATTGTTGAGGCTTTGCAGGATGCAGATTGGGTGAATGCAATGCAAGATGAACTCAATCAGTTTGAGAGAAGTCAAGTTTGGCATTCCAAGACCCAAGGACAGATCAGTTATTGGTACAAAATGGGTCTTCAGAAACAAACTTGATGAAGATGGAACAGTTACAAGAAACAAGGCAAGACTGGTGGTCCAAGGTTACAGTCAAGAGGAAGGCATAGATTATGATGAGACTTTTGCTCCAGTTGCAAGACTAGAGGCAATCAGACTCCTCATAGCCTTTGCAGCACACATGGAATTCACTTTTCATCAGATGGATGTCAAAAGTGCCTTCCTGAATGGCTACCTGAAAGAAGAAGTGTTTGTAAAACAGCCTCCAGGGTTTGAGAGCAAAGAATGTCCTGAGCATATGTACAAGTTAGACAAGGCTCTCTATGGACTCAAGCAGGCCCCAAGAGCATGGTATGAACGACTGTCCAAATTCATACTGGAGCATGGTTACAAAAGAGGTAAAATTGACAATACCTTATTCTTAAGGGAAAAAGGTAAGGATCTCCTTGTGGTACAAATATATGTTGATGATATAATCTTTGGGGCCACCACTGATAAGCTAAGTAAGGACTTTACAAAATTAATGGGAGTGAGTTTGAAACGAGTATGATGGGTGAGCTTAACTTCTTCTTAGGCTTGCAGATCAAACAAAGTCCTAATGGAACCATGATCCATCAACAGAAGTATGCAAAAGAGCTTATCAAAAAGTTTAAAATGGAAGAATCAAAAGAAATAGACACACCCATTGCAACTGCCACTAAATTAGACATTGATGAACCTGGTTCATCAGTTGATCAAAAGTTATATAGGGGTATGATTGGTTCACTCTTGTATCTTACTGCCAGCAGACTTGACATTGTTTTCAGTGTAGGGCTTTGTGCTCGTTTTCAGGAAAATCCAAAAGAGTCTCACTTGACTACTGTCAAGAGGATACTAAGATATCTGAAAGGCACCACTGATCTGTGTCTTTGGTACCCCAAAGGTAGTAATTTCAATCTAGTAGGATATGCTGATGCTGATTATGCAGGTTTCCTAGTGGATAAGAAGATCACCTCAGGTATGGCACACTTCCTTGGTTCATGTCTAGTGTCATGGGCTACTAAAAAGCAAAATTCAGTGGCCTTATCTACTGCTGAAGCTGAGTATGTTGCTGCTGCCTCTTGTTGTGCTCAATTGCTATGGATCAAACAATAGCTAGTAGACTTTGACATCGAAGTTGGTTGCATTCCTATATTCTGTGATAACACTGGTGCTATAAGTATGACAAAGAACCCTGTTCATCATAAGAGAACTAAGCACATAGATGTTAGGCACCATTTCTTAAGAGACAACTATGAGAAAGGTTTGATCTCCATAGAATTCTATGCTACTGATAAGCAATTGCTGACATCTTCACTAAAGCACTAAGTAGAGAAAACTTTGAGAGGAATAGGTTGGAATTAGGGATGATTAAGATCACATTATAGATCCAGCTCAGAATGCATAAAAAAAAATATTTTTTGGCTAGGAATTCTAACCTTGTGCAAATATCTAGATTAATTCTTACTCAGTTTCATACTTTAATTAGTATACTCCTGTGACATGTGTATATAGACTCATTGATCTCTTACAACATTTTCTCTATTATGGCATTTGAAGCATGTTCAAGAGAGTTCAATATGAAGAACCTGGTTCATCAGTATGGGTTCATATGAAAGCTCAGGTATGTTTTCTATACTCTGCACAATTAGAAAGATTAATAATTCAATCATGAGAAACAGTCCTATACTTGTCAAATTCCTACAAAATTCTATCCGTTGAGCATTGAACCAGTTCCGTCCATTTAGAACTCTAAATCGTGATTTTTGCCTAATATCTAGGGAAGCCAAATCTATCATTAAAATTCTGGAATTTCAGTTTGATTAGACTTCTATTTGACCCCCAAAAAAGATGTCGTTACTTATTTAATGTCTAATTCACTTTAAATACACACCACATCTCCAGTCTTCTTCATAATTTTAAAACCTCAAAAATTCCTCTTCAATTCTAATTGCCCTCTTCTCCAAAATTCCCAAATTCTTTTAAGAAACGAAGAATCATGTCTAACCCACAAGATCATCCTGACACTCCTCCACCACCATCTCCCTCAAATTCATCCTCATCTACTTTACCCAGTGTATCTCCAAAACCTAGGTTTCGAAGGCAGAAAATGCTTGCTCGAAAAACTGTAGCATCTGGGGCTCTGAGGAAGGTTTTAAATGAAAGGTTGAAAGCTAGCCAAGTGAAAGAAAGCCTAGCTCCAAAGTCTGATTCTAGCTCTGAGTCTGGATCCTTTCAATCTGCGACTGAGGGAGATGGACATGGGTCTTCTGACTCTAAAAAGACTCGAGAATCTCCTTCTAAGGTAAGTTATTCTGTGGTTGAAAACTTAGAAACTAGATTTGTTCTGGTTGGACCCATTAGGGATGTTGAGTTGCCTGAGATGAGTAGGAGTGGAGGTAAAAAGAAGTCTGAAAAAGAAAAAGAACGAGATGGTGCATGTGGTGAAGAGAGGGGAAAAGGGAAGGGAGCAGTTTTTGCTATATGTGGGGTTGCACAAGATAGGTTAGATGAGAGTGGTATGAAGTCAGGGGGAAGTGGTTCTAGGAAAGCAGCTGAGGGGTTGGTTCATCTAAGCAAACAAAGAGATGAACCTATTTCATCTACTGAAGAAACCTTGGCTGACCTCCTGAAAAAGGTTGGAGCAAGTTATGACCCAAAGAAACGCAAAGCTACTACACCAAAAGCCCCAAATGTTCCCAACCCATCCAAGAAAAGAAAAACCTCATCCCCAACACCTACTGCCTCTTCAGTGCCTAGGGGTAGAGCCGCAAGAAGCAGAGTAAAACAGAGTAAAGTTGATCTACAAAAGGCTTTAGAAGAAAGCAAGAAAAGGAAAAAGGATAAGGTAAAGGGAAATGTTGCAGAATCCTCAGAGGCTGTTGAGGAAGAAGAGATGGAACTGGTCCATCAAGAGAGGGGTACAACAGTGGAGGTTCCTACACCCAAGCCTAAGAAACCCAAGACTTCCTCCAAGAAGTCCTCCTCTGTGCTTGTAGCTGTTGAACCCACACTAGCCAAGAGGACAAGATCTACAGTGAAAGCTAAACAAACCAAAGTTTCTGATGATGATGATTGGAATGGAGAAGAAGAAGATGATGAATCTGAGAAGGAACAGGATAAGCTTGCCATTTTTGGCAGAAGAAAAATCTTAAAAGGTAGATTGTTGAAGGACCTGATGGAACCAGGGATGATGAGATTGGTAGACTCTTTGGCTGCTCAGGGATGGAAGGACATGGTCCTTTAGATGGAAGGTAGGCTAGCTAGAAATGAGTTGATTGAATTTATGGCAAATGCTGTTGTTAAGGATGGAGTTGTCAGTAGCCAGGTGAAGGGAGTTCAAGTGTAGTTTGGTGCTGTGAAACTGAGAGAGATTCTGGACATACCTTCTGAAGGGTTTGATGACTATACTAGGCAAAGGTGGCCATGCCTGGACTCCCTCCCCACTACCCTTGAAATCACCAAAAGGTTTTGTGATTCAGAGAATGTGAATGAAGCCAGAGCTGTGCAGAAAAGTGAGATGAGACCTCAGCACAAGGTGGTGTTTGAGTTTGTCAACAAGTGCTTATTGCCAAGACAGGAGAGAAGGCACACTGCTAACTACATGGATCTGGTTCTTATGGAATGTCTGGAGAGAGGAAAGCAAATCAACTGGCCTGCCCTCATAGTCAAACTGCTAGACAGGGTCATAAATGGTTCCAAGGCTCATGCTACCCCATATGGCTTCATACTAACCACAGTTCTGGACAGGCTCAATGTGCCTCTGAAGAAATGGGAAATGGCCTCGAGCAAAGAATACTTTGGCATCAAAACTCTTCTTGCTTGTGACTATCCAGTCAATGCCATCCCAGTTGAACCTGGTTTATCCTTGAGGACACCCATCAACCGCAAGGTTAGGACTTTGGTTCAGGAATGTGCAACTAAGGATGCAGAAATTGCTAGGCTCAAGGCTCGTGTGGTTGAAGTGGAAGCTGAGAGGGATGGAGAATTGAGCTTGCAAAAGAAAAGGAGAAGAATGATGAAATTCTTCAGAACATGCTGAATCTTCTCCAAACTCAACCCTCCAGTTCCTTCAAGCCTTAGGACTCCTAGTTTCTGTCTCCTGAACTAGTTCTAGTACCCCTAGTGACCCAGATTAGGGATTTTTCTGTTTTTTGCTCATGGTTTGGATGTTTTTCTTTCTTTTTGTGGATTATTAGTGGCAACATATCTCTCTCAATAACAACTGCTGTTTTCTCTTGTTCAATGACTATTCTGACCTTGATAGTTTAAATATGTTTGTTTGATTACTGATGATTGCACCATGATTGCACTTGTAGTTGCCCCAGTGGCCATGAGTACTTATTAAAATCTAGAATTCACACTGTGTATGCAAATTTTTGATGATGCCAAAATGGGGAAGAGATATTGTGCTTTACACATTATTCTGAAATAAGTGATATTTACAACCTAATTAACCTGGTCCTTGATGAAAAGAAAATTTTCTAAGTTTAGTGTTGATGGTTAAGCTGAGTTCTTACAGGTTTTTTGATCAGTAAAAAGCACAGAGTTTGTCATCATCAAAAAGGGGGAATTTGTTGGACCAAGAACATGTGAAGTTTTGAAGAATGACAAATGAACTCAGTCATGGACCAGGTCCATCTTGTGAAACACTGTCATAATCAACCTACACATGTGAGATGCACGTGAAGGAGATAATTCCTACTGATCAAGCAGCAATATCTCCTGATCTGATCGAAAAGGTTGCATATCAGATAAGGGGAGAAAGTCTCCTTATATGAAGAGAACACAATCCGGATAAAGAGAGTGTTAGAGTTTGATATCTTCAAGGACTCAACTACGATAGAAGATCAGAAATTGAGTCCCAATCAAACTCTGATTTCTAACCTATTAAATGACAGTGATTGTTCTCTTTTACAGGTATTGCACAAACGCAGAAGTTAAACTAAATTGAAAGCAAAAGAGCAAGGCGATTTTGCAAGCAATTTATGTGAGATTTGAGTGTGCACTCCTGAAGCTACTTAAATGAGATAGAAGAACCAGTTCCATTGTGTTTTTTGTTATTCTAGTTCAATTGTAGTATGTGGTTTAAAGTTGTACCTTTCAGCTTTCATAGAAGCAGTACTTTGAGTGTTCAAGTTATAAGCTAACTTGAAGTTGTCGCAACAGTTGAGAGTGTGTGCTACAACGAGATTAGAGGTAATCCTTAGGTTTACAAAGAGTTTTGTAAATGCTGTTTTGGCTCAGTAATTTTAGCGAAAGTTTGGGAAAATCCTACTGAGTAGTAGGTCGTGGTTTTTTCACCTTTTGAGTCAGGTGTTTTCCACGTAAAAATCTCTGTGTTCTTTATTTTATGTACTTTTTATTCCGCAAACAGTAGTAGTTAGAACACCTAGAAGAACCAGGTTCTTCTAGAGCGAAAATTGGGTACCACACAAATCATCCCCCTCTTGTGTGGTATTGACGCTTAGAACATCAACAACAACTGATTAGCTAGACTTCCCTGATTCACGCCTATTTTTGCTACTGTATTCATGAATACAATAACTTAAATATATCAAATACATCTTATAACCACATAAAAGGTATCAATAATCCGTAATATAGCAAATGGTATCTATAGATGGCTAATTACTACTAAAAGATAGTGCTTTATGAAAATTTCTCATTTATTAACTTACATGGAAAACCATTTAAGAAATCAAAATAAAATTGCAATTAGACTTATTGAGAAGAATAATAAAAAATAAAATATATTGAAATTCTGGAAGATTTAATCGAAACAGTCACTCTCGCAAATGCTTAAACTAAAAATAGTTGGCGCATACTTCATATATGTATTATCCATACGTATGTGTATAGCCATGTATAAACTGTGTATAATCTATGTATAGCTGTTAGAAAAAATAAACGGTGAATCTATCCGACAATTTGTATAAAGATCCCAAACATTTCTCTAAGAGTTTTTGGTCCGGAAAATATTTTTAAAATGTTTGATTACAAGAAAATATTTTGAAAACGTAAGAGTAAAAGTGGATCCACTATCTTATGTATAGAAAGTCATTTTCTTGTATAACCTATTACCAAGTCTGGTGTTCGTATATGCAATTGAGAAGCAGATTAAGTGAATCAATGCATTATTCAGAAATTCTCGCAAGTTGTCATTTAGTAAATTATCCTCTTTTTTTATTATTATTAAAATTTTTTTTGGCAGTGTATAGACATTTTAAACAATGATCACTTTAGAGCAAACTGAAAATCTTATGAAAAAATATTAAATCATGTCTAAAATTTTATAAATTACTACAAATGTTAACATACAGTCTAATATTTTGCTTGTAAGGTTAAGCAAACTAAAAGTTATATATGAGCAAAAGTGCATACCCAAGTCCAACATTGTCCTTAAAGGATAATTATCCAAGGGTTATATTTGTACAATTTTTAAAAATACCGACAACATCTAAATAGTAACCTAGGGGAGG